TTTGAGCAATGATATGTCACAAATAAAAGATTATAAGTGATTTATTGTAGAGAAAAAAAAATGTGAAGAAAAGTACAAATAAAGAAATTAAAGTAAACGAAATAATAAGTAAGAAAAGAATAATAAAATAAAATCAATTGGCATTTAAGCAGGAAAAGTCTTGGATAAATTGGAGTCACTCATTTGAGATTTGGTTCAGTCTCCACTGAGGGATCTGCGTTTGAAATATAACATCGGTGAGTTGCTTGACACGGCTTAAAAAAAACAGGTATTTGAAATAGTTACATAAACATTGAAAATTTCCGATGAGACAAGAGGAAGGAATTGAGCCGGTTTAATCTCAATGCAGGGTCCGTAGCTCGTATTCTGGTCTGCCTCAGACGTAATCCCGGTGTAAAACCACCTTGTCTCATTACGCTGACCCTCTGCAGAAAAACCGAATCGCTTGAGCGAAAGAAAAAATTTTTTTGTCTCTGCCAACTGTAAAGCCTACACGACAGTAGTGCTGTGGTCTCCACGTGAGGTATGCAAAACGATACTTGAAGGTACGCCAAGTTTCCTTAATATAACATAATATATTATGTTGTAGGGAGTACAAGGATGAAAGGTATCTTCTAAAATAAGTGGAAAGACCCCATTCGTCGTCTCTGTGACCAAACGGATCAATTGTTATCTAACGGCGCTTTGTAGAAAAATCATTGCCACTAATTGTGATATTCGGCTTAACAATGTTCAAAAATACTCAAATTTATAAAATTTGTAGTCTAAACTTATTGATAAAATCACTGCAAATAATGAAAAACTCAGTAAAACGCTTGAAATCAATGACTTTAATTAATTAAATTGCACGATCCAATAAAACTCTGACAACAAATTGTCAGAGTTTTATTGTTACGTCGCCACGAAAATTGATGGATTTTTCAGCAATTTTTTTCATTTTTCCGCCTCTCTGTCGCTGAAGAGACAGATTATAACAGAACGTTCCTTGCGTATACATTCGTGTTAACAGTAATATGTATTCAAAAATCTCGTGTTTCGTATCTGTGTAAAGATGAATAAAAATTTCAATTTTATGATGATCCTTTCTACCGAAAAAAGAATAGACTTGAAGTATAGTAACCTCCCTTTTATCTACCAATCTTTAAATACTGTAAAAAGCGCAAACCCAAACGGTTATTTAATGCACTTTGCTTGTAAGTTAAATCGTAAACTTTTCTAAAGTGAACTTCAAAAAAGATTCAAAAGAATCGAAAGAAATTTTCGTATCGTCGCATAATTCCCATAAGTTGTCCCATAAGTCATAATACCGTAAATACCGTTTAAGAATATAAATACAATAGACCTGCTATAACGCAGATTTCTATAACGCGGCGAAAAAATTGCGACAGTATTCGAATAAAGACGCTAAAAGGGACGCATAAAACGCGGTAACACGTCATCGCCGACTCGTGTCGCGACAGGATTGGTCGAATCTGGACCAATAATAGAGAAGCAGCCAAACTACTTACATACTACAGAGAGTTTAGGCAAGTAAGTTGAGTTTACTATTGTCTGTACAGTATTATATATAAATTGGGTACTGTATATATAATTATATATTAACTTGATTTATTTTAACTTTTCCCTTTCATTACCGTTTGCCACGCCCCTCTGTTTACGTGTATTTTTTAAAAGAGCCAAGGGCAGTATAGGTCAGACAAAGTGAGACAAGTTATATTATTTTAAAAATTCACCAAAAATTAATTTATCGTTATATTCATATGACAAAAATTACGTTACATTTATTAATATCTTTAGTTATCAATACAATATTTTTAAATACATTTAAATATAAACTTTAATAAAAAAAATTATAATATAGCAGACCTGACATCTAACTGTGAAAATTTGCAACATTTTCTTAAAATTCACATACTCCACTTAAGTAGTTTGTACTTGGCACTAAGCCAGAACGACATGAAATATTGTTCTGTATAATTCTATATAACATTTATGAATGTACGATTTTTAAATTTTAAAATTATCACAGATTATATATATCCTTTGTTTGGATTGAAGGTCACAATTTAAATATTCATAATACATTGACTTATTATAACTGAATAAACTTATTATAGCATGAATGAACGTATTTTAGTAATATGATTACGTAAATATGCTATAAGAAAAATAAAAATATATATATACATTAAGAAAAAAACTCGCTAAATAAAAATTTTTGAGGAAAAAAAACACCACCCAGACAAAAATATGTGAAACAGATGGTAGTCAACACATCACCGTCAAGTGCTGGCATCTGTTGTCAATAAAGTTCATTAGAATCGATTTTTATCAGGGTAACGAAGAATTGATAATCTGGTCCATTGTTATGACAATGGGGGGTACGACAGTTCACGATCCAGGTCATATAAGAAAATTATGTATTAACTTAATTTATTTTAACTTTATTATATTTATATATATATATATACTTTCTGCTGTTCAGCGCCACGCTACGAAGAGTATAGACAAGTAAATTAAGTTTACTATCATCTGTACAGTATGTAAATTAGGTACCGTAAGTCTAATAGAGCACTAATTTTATACATTTCTTGTGAAAAAAACATTTCTTATTCAATGGCCATAAAAATTACAGTAGAGCGTTGATTATCCGAATCAATTGGGAACTGGGGTTGTTCGGAAGATCAATATTTCGGATAACCGATTATGTCCAGAAAAAATATATTAATATATCCCATCTTGACATTTTTCTCTATTGCGTGTTGCTTCGCATTGAATTTTCGTCGATGTTAAGTCTAATGAAAACTATTGTATCGTTAAAAATTATTTTTTTATTTTGTACGAACAAAATAAATATATTGAAAAATATAAAAACAATAATGAATTATATTTCAGAAGTTAATCTAGTATCAAAAACGTAAAATATTTGAGTAGCCGAGACATAGCCAAAGATTGCAGCGCTACAGCACTGGCAAAAATTTAAATTTGCCGACTGGAATTTTTTCGGATGATTGATTTTCGGATAATCGACGCTCTACTGTATTTATATTAATGATGTTTCCAAAGTTCAACAAATTTTTCGCAGAAAAATAACTTATCAGAAATCGCGGCCGCCATTTAGTGCGCTGCTCCGCGACAAAAACAAGCTTAAGCAATGGCGACGTCGAACGATGCACACTTGGTAAGTAATCCTACAATTTTTTGTTTATAGCATAGTTTATACGGATTATTTCCAAAAAATTGTACGTGTTTTGGAAATGTTGAGTCGAATTTTTCAAGAATCGCTTAATTTTATTGAAGAAAACCTTTCAAACAGCCGTAGTCCCTAAACTGTACACGTGTCAGCTGTGATCGATTCATGTATTTAAAGATTTTTACAACGCGAAACTCCTATAACGTGGAACGTATCTACCGCGTTATAAGGGTCTACTGTAATACGGAAAACAGCAGCAGTGTACAAATCAGAATATCACCAAACTGGAAGAATAAAAAGCCTATCCAGGTATAACTAAATGATCAATTTCAATAGGACGTTCCCGTTATACATTTATATTTCGAAATGGTCAGATTTATTGGAATATGTAAGGAAATACGCGTAATCTTCTTAAAAACTATAAGAAAACCGGGATATAATATGGTCTATATAGGGGCAAAAGGCTCGATTAACTGTAGACGAACGTTCGAAGAAAAACGAAAGTCAGTAATTTCGATTCAAAATTTTTCTGCCAAAAGGCGATTGATGACCGACATTTTTTTATCAGTGAAGGAAAAGTATGATAATGTACTGTACAGGGGCTAACCTCTATTAATTTCTGATGGAGAGCATATATTTTAAATCTTTGCCAACTGTATCCGAGATGAAATCTAGAGAAAACAATAAACTGGTATTAAAAAAAAAACTTTAAAACCATTATTGTTTCTTATTGTCTTTGTTTTTCTCATATATGGATTTCAATTTTTCGATCCTCATTAGTATATTCATAAGACAAAGCTTAGCCTTGAAACAGATATCTCAAAAGAACAAAGCAATTACAAAAGGCGTTACAGACATAAAGAAAACTCACGTGGCCAGCCTGTCCGAGAGAGGCACGAACCCAAGACCGAACTCCCAGTGTTCGGGGAACGAAAACCACTTGAACATTGGTGGGCCATTTCGGAGAAAAAAAAGCTAAGTGATTCAAACAAGACTTTATGTTTCAATTTTTTTATTCAAAACAATTATAAATTTACTTTTCGGGTATATATTCGAAAAATATTAAAAATTCATTTATTATTTTACATTCAATTTTCGAAAGATGCAGTCTCAGTTGCTTGATTTTATACTAAACAAATCGAGAATTTTCCACTTCATCACAATAGATTTATATATAATATTTTAAATACAACGTAAAGTGTGAGTCTATAAAATGGAATTTTAATATTACAAAACTTACTTTAAATATATCTACTAAGTAAACTTGAATTCATAGTGATTACGAAGAACAACACAAAAAGACAATTAATTTCGATATATCCGTAACAAATAACAGAATCAATATAATTAAACTGTGATAATCGCTGGTAAATCTGTAATACACGTTATTCATGTTGTGATAAACGTGAATAAAGTTCGATTGTTTTCTCTTCAACCGGAGAAGTTAGTGAACGTCTGCTCACAACTTCTATGAGAACTTGCTGCTTTCTTGAACTTTAATAAACTCGAGAACACGGAGTGTAGAGTTGAAGCCATCTACCAGTGAAAATATATAAAATTCTTATTATTAAAATTCTTATTCTAGATACAATTAACAGTTAAAAAGCGTAACTATAATCTGCTCACAATTGTAAATATAAACGTAACTACCTTTAGAGGGATCCTCTTATCGACGTAGCAGAAACCAATGGACAAACACAAGGAGACTTTTCCAAACCTTTTCATGAAATCCAATACCTGACAAAGAATTTATATTCAATATTAAATNATTTATATTCAATATTAAACTTATTAAACAAATTAATTTTTAAAAAAAAAAAAAATCCAAAATAACTTTTAGTTTTTGTCGCAAATCCAAATCACAAGTTGAAAATTGCCGAATGTCTTGAAATCCGTTTTGCATCTAAAATATGAAAACAAATACAATTAAAATATTTAAAATGTTTTAAAATAATAATAATGATAAATACCGTGAAAGCAATGCAGCATAGAAAACAGCCACATATAATGCAGACAAACGAAAGACCAATCATCAGCATGAATATCCAAATTCTTAAAATCCCATGCATATGAATATACAAATAAGCGTAATACAAAAAGCTCGTTCCCCAAATCGTTCCGAAATAAATAACTTCCAAAATCATACCGAATTTTGTGTTTAACTGATTTATAAAATTCCACAATTCTTGGTGACGGATCATCAAATCTTGTAATTTTTTTCTTAGATTTCTGTCACGTCTCCTTATTATGCAGAACTCCGAACAAAGTTCTTCAAACTCTCTGTAAGAAACACGTATGACTAAAGCAACCAACAGTATACCATGTGTCATGCCTCCTATAGTTAAAGTCGATACAAATCCACATTTAACAGTGCATATTAGAGCTTCAAATTGAAAGTGTTGCTTTTTTTCAAAAGCCGGATAATAAACATTCAGGTTGACAATTTGAAAAACGATGGTTAATAATATGGCGATGAATGAAACATACAGAGAAATTTTTCTTACTAGAGTATTATTCTGGACAACCATTGTTTCATACAACCTTTCGTTTCGTAATTTCGTAATCAGATCGATCTTGTTGTGGCTGATAAAGGTCAAACTGATCGAATAAGACAAGTACATTACAACGATAAAGATTTTCATTAATATGGCATCATCTTGAAATACGTCAAACAATCCAAGACACAATGCATATTCACCTAAACGTGGTAAAGATTGCCACATTAAAAGAATGGTAAATTGCCATAATATAAACTGGACGGATCGAACGTAGATGTTCATCAAGTTTGGATATTTAAGTTTGTAAATTCGTTGCTTACAAAAACAAATTCGAAATGGATCCAAGCCGTAAATTAGGGCCGTGGTCCAACATGGTGCGAGGAAACAGTTCATGCAAATTTCTGCCTTGATATTTGAATTCATGTTGCCAATGCTTCTGCGGAACTTAATAAAAACAGAAATTTACTTGAAATATCGGGTTATATAACGACACTAATTTCATTTTTATGCAATTCTAATCTTCTAATGGCTCACTTGGAGTCGTGCCAAATGAAATATTCTCAAGCTCTATCCATCATGTATCTTATGGCAAGTATATTTAATGGGTTTACTTTACTAATTGAAATATATAGTTGTTTACCTTTTTTAAAAGCTTATCGATTACAGAGGCATTTAATTTTGAATGTAAACTACGAAATGCAATATCCGTTATATAACGCTATAATCACAGTAGATTTTTGTAAGCATCAATTAATATTTTCTTCCAGTTTTTATTCATTCTATTTCAATCCAGGGTGACGCTTTTCAAATTATAACAGATGCTTAATAAACCTAGGCGGTAGTCGATTTAATACTTTGTGACCTCATCTGAACTCCTCTTTGTCTGAGGGGTTCTGGTTTTCGATCCCTCCGTCTTATTGTCGATACAGACGAACTATTCAACTTGTCCCTCCTAATATTACCATTCAAAATTAAGAGTCAATAAATTACGTTTAGCGATGGGTTACTGCATTTGAAAATGTTCATAAGTTACGTCCGCATTTTTCTTCAAATTTTTACTCCCCCTCCCCTCTTGTTCTAGCTTTTTCAAGTTTCTTAATCTCCTCCCCTCTTCGGATGTCCGACAAAACTTTACCCTCTTTAAACCTTTATCACATTAATGATAGATACCATAAGTAGGAATAAAACGTACATTATAAAACACTTCGAAATAAATATAATAAAATGCAAAACTGTATAAATTTTAATGAAATATATGTACGTACAATAAAGTTTAAAGTAAATACTGTATATCTTTAAGAAATCCCATTCCCTATATTTTCTGCTCTTGCTTTATCTCCGGACAACAAATGCCAATCACATATTTATTACCAATGAGAGGGTATGTACATTTGTTACAACGCGTGTCTTTAGGCATTCAAGAGGAAACATTCCTGATAAATATTCAGTAGAAAATTTTTGATATTTTCTTATTTCGAGCAATATTAATTTTTCGAATTAAGGTAATAATCGATTTATCTTAAGTGAAGATACAAATTGATAAGTGAAAAATATTGTAGATTATATTTTCGCATTACTTTTTAGAATTTCGCAAGATTTTTATCGACATTCATCACGATAAGAGAGTTGTCGACATTGCAACTCATCATTAATAACGTCTTTTCAAATGTTTACTATTGAATCTGGTTTATAATTTATGTTACTTATCAATTTACTCGCAGGTCTACGTTATGTTTCACTTACGAATAAACTATGTCGCAACACTAACGGTAATACGAAGCCAGTGTGAAGACACACTCAGCTATTGATATATAATTACTCTGCCATTAATTAGCATAGGTTTTTCTCAACCCCCTAGTTTTCTTATTGAAAGTAAGTATTAATTATTAGTAACTTTTAAAGTGTGATTATTGTTTATTTAAAATGCTTCGAGTATGTGAAATTTAGTACTGGAGCTAGCTTGACTAAATTAAAATGCCTACTGCAAGATTCAGAACCATTAAGCTTAAAAATTCAAAATATGCATGCATGGATAAGGCTACGATAATAAACTAATATGAAATGTGTCCATTCTGGCGAAGATTATCGTCATACAAAGAACGAAATTAAAATCAAAATTCCGGAGCCTTTATAGTTCATGCCATTTTTTAACCTTGTTGTCATTGATTCAGCGTCATTCTGGAAAAAACATTAATGTTTTTTAATGGATTTTGAAGTCAGTTTTGTTAAAATCAACACTTACTTACGGATAAGTGGGCAATACTAATTTTGATTTATATCCATTCAGTTTATTTAATCAACATTTGTGAAATCGAAAATCGTAAGTTCCAGCTCACCTTGTGCAGGATGGATCAACATATGATACCAAGCTGTGAATTCCGCTCACTCTCAGGGGTTATTTTCTAAATTGAGGAAAGACAGGGAAGATCTGTTAAGTCAGGTTCCCGACACCAGTTAGAATTATTAGACGTGTTTCAACTCGCGTTTTCATATAAATAAGGCCCCTTTTCCTTAAAAGACTTCCCTAGAGGCATCCCCTCCTTGGCAGATCGCCCAGGTGTTGCGTTGTCATAATAAAAAAATACATTATTAGGTTTATAACCTAAATCATTAAGGGAAATTTTATCAAATAAATGTATTTATTACAAAATCTATAACAAAGTGAACAATTAGAACAGTATGCATTATCAAAATCAGTTTTATTCAACTTTTTTTGCCTGGTATTCTTACGCAAAGTAGCACTCCCATATGATATTAATTGAAACTCGGTATACCATGTCTGCCTTTTTGTTGTGAGAAATAGCAGAGAAGACGTGTAAAATATATACAATGGTATTTTCATAACAATAAACATAGTTTAAATTGCATTTGTGTAGTGCGGTTTAAAATAGTTTTAAAATATTTAATACGTAAAAATTATACTGTAATACAGTTTTTTATTTAAACGTTGAATTTATTTACGTTTATTCTTTGTCAGTTTGTAAATAAAAAATTTCTGTCATGTAGTTAATAATATTACATATCAGATAAAGAGTTGTTTAATTGGTTATATCTTAAAATTCAAATTGATATTGGAAGTTATTCTTTTAAATATATGGAAAAAAGTTTGTCTAAAATTATCAATAAAATATATTACACTAGATATGTGACATCGAATAACTCTAAACCACGTTTATCGTTGTATTAGCCTAGGAGAGCAGTTTGAGCAATGTTATCTCACAAATAAAAAATTATAAGTGATTTATTGTAGAGAAAAGAAGAAAATGTAAAGAAAAGTACAAATAAAATAGAGAAGCCTAATAAAGAAATTAAAGTAAACAAAAAAAATAAGAAATAAAAGAATAATAAAATAAAATCAATTGGCATTTAAGCGGAAAAAGTCTTGAATAAATTGGAGTCACTCATTTGAGATTGGTGCAGTCTCCACTGAGGGAACTGCATTTGAAATATAAGATCGGTAAGTTGCTTGACCCGGCTAAAAAAACAGGTATTTGAAATAGTTACATAAACATTGAAAATTTCCGATGTGACAAGAAGAAGGAATTGAGCCGGTTTAATCTCAATGCACAATCAGTAGCTCGTATTCAGGTCCGCCTCAAACGTGATCCCGGTGTGATACCACTTTGTCTCACTACGCTGACCCTCTGCAGAAAAACCGAATCGCCTAAGCGAAAGAAAAAATTCCTTTGTCTCTGCCAACCGTTAAGCCTACACGACAGTAGTGCTGTGGTCTCCACCTGGGGTATGCGAAGTGATACTTGAGAGTATGCCAAGTTTCCCCAATATGACATAATATATTATATTATAGGGAGTACAATGATGAAAGGTATCTTCTAAAATAAGTGGAAAGACCCCATTCGTCGTCTCTGTGACCAAACGGATCAATTGTTATCTAACGGCGCTTTGTAGGAAAATCATTGCCACTAATTGTGATATTCGGCTTAACAATGTTCAAAAATACCCGAATTTATAAAGTTCGTAGTCTAAACTTACCGATAAAATCACTGCAAATGATGAAAAACTCAGTAAAACGCTTGAAATCAATGACTTTCAATCGCACGATCCAAAAATCCAACCGTTTGCGATAACAGTAGTCCATTACTCGCAACAAATTGTCAGAGTTTTATTGTTACGTCGCCACGAAATTTGATGGATTTTTCAACGAATTTCTTGATTTTTCCGCCTCTCTGTCGCTGAAGAGACGGATTATGACGGAACGTTCCTTGCGTATACATTCGCATTAACAATAATACGTATCCAAAAATCTCGTGTTTCGTGTCTGTGTAAAGATGAATAAAAATTTGGATTTTATGATGATCCTTCGTACCGAAAAAAGAATAGATTTGAAGTATAGTAACCCCCATTTTATTTACCAAACTTTTAATACTGTAAAAAGCGCAGACCCAAACGGTTAATGAATGCACTTTGCTTGTAATTTAAATCGTGGATTTTTCTAAACTAAAATGAACGTCAAAAAAGATTCAGAAGAATCAACAGGAATTTTCGTATCGTCCTGTCAATAGTCATAATACCGTAAATGCGTGGTTTGTACCGTTTAAGAATAGAAATACAGTAGAGCATCGATTATCTGACTTAATTGGGGACTGAGGTTGGTCAGAGTATTGAAAAGTCGGATAACCAAAAAGTATGAAAAAATCCATTATTACTGTAGTATATTATTNAGTCATAATACCGTAAATGCGTGGTTTGTACCGTTTAAGAATAGAAATACAGTAGAGCATCGATTATCTGACTTAATTGGGGACTGAGGTTGGTCAGAGTATTGAAAAGTCGGATAACCAAAAAGTATGAAAAAATCCATTATTACTGTAGTATATTATTATATCTCATGTAATTAGTATATTAGTATATCGCTATTAACCTACTTCGCGTTCAATTTTCCTCCATGTTAAGTTTATCAATTTTTTTTTTTTTAAATACTAATTGTCCCTATTGCATCGTTAAAAATTATTTCTTTATTTTGCACAAAATAAATACAGTACAGTAGACCTTCCTATAACGCTTAGATACGTTCCACTTTATAAGATTTTTACGTTGTAGGAATCCTTAAATACATGAGCCAATCACAGCCCGACACATGTGAAGTTTACAAACTAAGGCTGTTTGAAAAGTTTTCTTCCATAAAATTAACCGATTCTAGACTAATTCCACTCAACATTTCCAAAACACGTATAATATTTTGGGAATAATCCGTATAAACTATGCTATAAACAAAAAATTGTAGGATTACTTACCGAGTGTGCACCGTTCGACTACGCCGTTACTTACACTTGTTTTCGTCGCGGAGCAGCGCACCAAACAGTGACCGCGTTTTCTGATAAATTATTTTTCTGCGAAAAATTCGTTGACCTTTGGAGACATCATTAATAAAAATAATTTTTATGGCCGTTGAATAAAAAATGCTTCTTTCATAAGAAATGTATAAAATTAGTGCTGTATTAGACTTACGGTACCTAATTTACATACTGTACAGACGATAGTAAACTTAACTTACACGCCTAAACTCTCCGTAGCGTGGCGCTTCACGGCGGAAAGTATATATATATTTAGATTATAACAGTTACAATAAATTCAATTATAAGTAAAGAAGTGAGCCTTCGAGAAGTTGTCGCAAAATTGTCTTTGACAGAGGACAAGGTTTCAAGAAGTTCAACTGCTTAAAAAAATGCCTAACAAAGAAGTGCGCTCGCAAGTCATCAAGATTACTTTATGATTCTAAATGCCATGATAGCTCTCAATGTTGTAACAAGTAAAATCCTTTTTTACTTTTATTAAATGAACAATGAATACCAAATGATTAGAAAAAATACTGTGATTACTGATTAGCTTAGCCGGATAGGCTATTATATTAATTTTTACAAGATAATTTCATTTTTGTTACGTTAAAAAAGTATTTTTAAACTGTTTCACTAGTTACTAATAAATAGGACTTAGAAGTTTATAATAGTTGCAATAAATGATTATTGAAATACTCATAGTTTTATTTCCAAAACCAACATTTACTAATCGTCTTTAGTAAAACCTAGCATGTACCAAATTCTAATGGTGAAAGTCCGGAAAATCATCTCACTTTATAAAAATCCTTCATTTACCAACTCATGTTGGTAAATCCGAAGATTTACAAGTAAAACCTAGGATTTACCAGTATACGGGCTTTTACAGTAACACATATACAGTACAACCAAGTTTCTGGGTTAACATTCTTCTCATTTTCTTTGTATTATGTATCATATAGATTTTCCTAAAAATTTCGTGTTCTACATTCAGGTAAAATAATACATTTTTTCAGAATTACACGAATTATTTTTAGAGTAATATAAAATTTATCAAACTCGAATCACTGTTGAAAATGCGATCTGAATGGCACTACATCTTATTGTGAGTGAAACACTATTATAGAAGCTGATTAATTAGATTCTTTTGAAGGTATGTTACTAACCTAATCTAATTTATGAAAAAAAAAATTGATAATCGACATCAATACACAATAAATTATGTAACGTAGGGTTTTTCAAAAGCCGTTTCTCGAAAGGTAATCGTATCTTGTGCCAAATATAAATGATTTGTTTGTAGAAGAATTCTTCATACAACATTTGTACCATACGATATTCAACTAAACATCGAGATTATCAGTCGCATTAAAGAGTGATTTTGTTTTTTGATTACACGACTTGTCGATTCCCTCGAAGATATCTCGTATCTGAAGTAATATATTGAAAACGCTGTACAATGATCGGTACATCTGTAAATTGAAAGTGATTTATTACATTTAAATTTTAAAATGAATTACAAAAATACACATAATACGCCGTTTTATTCATATATTATAAATATACCTGGATTGGGAATTTTGTAGAAAGGATAAAATAACCTCCACAACAGATTCCGATTTGATTTTCCCGAAATTTTTTCATGAAATTCAACACCTGTTAATAATTACAAGCGTAAAACTTCAATTTTTTGAATTATAAAATTTCAAAAGAAATTTTGGGTTTTCAAATTACCTTCAGGTCGACTTCCAATGGAAGAGGAATCAAATTGAATTTTTGAATTTCTTGAAAGGAATCGTAAGCCTCTTGTTAAAGAATTATAGTTAATACGCTTAATAATTACTTATATACACAACTAAAATGAATATTTTGGACTTACCGACGTGAAGATACGAGAAACCGCAAATGAAACCGATACCACCAAACATATGCAGAGAAGAGAGCAAAGCACAAGAAGTATTCGTATGTATTGTACGTGGCTGATGTAGTGAATATTGCGTTGTAGAAGGAAAAGGATACGATATAAGCGTCTATTCCGTATAAAAGAAACCAGCTGTTACCCCATATATCGTTCATTTGTGCAAT